TTTTAACACCCAAAATATGTTCAATCTAAATGGAAGTTTACATTTTTAAGTATCTTACGTATGTCTAGATTAAGTTTAAAGTTTGATTATTTAATTTTCTTGCATACTTATGTATTTTATTTACATTGCTTGGTAACCTGAGAGAAAACAAAAGGATGGCAGAAAACACAACAAAAAACAATAGAAAAAGAGCCTTAGAAAAGGAAAAGAACAAAAAGAGAAAATGAAAAAAGAATCCAAAATGGATCACTGAATTTATGAGTTTTTGGTACCATTTTTTCTAAGTGTTTCTTACATAGGTATCTATTTGTATTATTGACAAATAGGGGGAGATTGTTTTCATTTGTCTTGTAATAAGTATATCCAATGAACAACACCCATACAGATATAACTTAAAAGAATTAACATCTGAACCTTAGTAACTCATAAGACTTAAGACTCCGGATGTTGATCAATCATCGGATTCTTAGTTTATATAAGATTGTGAAGACCAAATCTTTGGTTCGATTATTCTCCACCCAATTTGGAGAATCCGATTGACTTATCATTTAAGGTAATTCCATCTTGAATTTCAATAACCCACAATTAATACCAAGTTGTTTCAGAATCTGATGAATGCACTTCATAAGTATTCTATAGCTGGAATCTGGAATGTAACTTTATATTTCAAAATTAAAAAAGATATGATTTCTAATTGTAAAAGTTTAATAATGTATTGACCCAAGAACGAAAAACCTTCAACAAAATCGAAGACTAGTTGAAATGAGGTCAAGATCGTAAAAAAGCGGATTACTTTGTCATATACCCCAAAAAAAGATTAATATAAGATAAAATCAAATAGTAGTCTGTAATTACTATTATTGAGCAATCCAGATTTTGGAGTTCAAACTTGTCCCACAAGTTTGGCTCACCAACTCTTCCAACACTCATCCTAATATGAGAGCATGCTCAGCATGTCAGCACAAAGTAAGTTCTAAACACTATTTATTAGTGCCATACTTTTTTTACTGTTTCCTCGACATACAAAAGAATGAGATAGGATAACAAGTGTTTACATCAACTACAAAGGCTGAAATAACGAGTACAAGCATGCATGGATTATCAAATCAGATGAAGACACACGTTAAAGTTAGATAGTGGCATTTAATGCAATGATGGCTATAAAGGGCACCCTTGTCTTTCATTGCTACCCATCCATTTTGACAGACTTCTTTGTGATAGTTTCTTGAGAAAAATCGACGTCAACATCTGAAGAACTATCTTAGTCCTTCATATATGAAAGAATATATTTTTCTCTCACTCTTTCAATGTTAGCAAATTTATCACCAGCCATTTTGTTTAGCATCACATATTTCATCTTCCTAGTTTCCGCAACAAATATGGAATTCTTTGTTTTGATACAAAATATATAACTAAAAGTGAAAATATGTTGTGTTTGTATTAAACCTCTTCTACAAACACATCATGTGTAAGTCGTTAATTTCCATGAGGGCAAATTGCATGAAAAAATATTGTACTTTAACTTGATTCCTATTTTGGGTAATGTATTTTCAAATCTTCTATTTTGGTACCTAAGATGTAAAGTTTTAAACATTTAAGTACCCGGGTAACTGGTTGAAGTATTAACCGATTATCATGCTGATGTGTCGAGTGATGTGGTATCAAACTCGGTATTATTTGCTGACGTGGTCAGTGACGTGGATTTTTTAAAATTTAAAATTAGTCTTTTTTTTAGTCTAAAATTAGTCTTTCCGGGTTACCCGGGTACTTAAATGTTTAAAACTTTACATCTTAGGTACCAAAATAGAAGTTTTAAAAGTACGTTACCCAAAATAGGAATTAAGTTAAAGTACGTTACTTTTTTCATGCAATTTGTCTTTCCATGATCAACATTATTGATCAAAGTCCAAAACTTTGGAATTATCAAAGCAATCATGGAGAAAATAGATTAAAAATATTACATAAATTTAGCAAATTATATTCTCCCCCCCTCTCTCTCTATATATATAATTTTATCTATATATTTTTAATTATATATATATATATATATATATATACTATATTATAAAGCATTTGACTAAAATTCTTAAAAACTCTTAAAAACTTTTAAAACTCTTAAAAACTCTTAAACACGTTCATCCCTAAACGATTTCATCCCTATCCGATTTCATCACATATCTGAATTCGTGTAACTGCAGATAAACACAATCAAATACAGGATAAACATCTCATTTTAAATATAAAAAATCTAAAATATAATTAGTATAATTATTAAATTCTAACAGAATACTTAATTATTATCTTTATAAAATTTATAATATTAAACCAAAAATAAATTGTTTTATAATTAAACTTAAATTAAATTATATCTATCTATACTATATTATAAAGCATTTGACTCATTCTCTTAAAAACAAATTTTCATGTATAAGATACAATCAATTTGTGCACATTACTTAAAAATAAAAAATACAAGTTAATTATGCATACGTACATGTTTTTAAAGCATACCACTCCCATTGAAATCTTAATTCGTCCCTATAATTTCTCTAATCCAACTAACGTCCCTATAATCTCTCTTTTTCAACGAGTAGATAGTCACTGTCGATTTCATATTTAATGGGTGGTTTTGACTCAATATTTCTTATAATCACCGTCAACTTCCATTCCCCAAA